ATATATATATATATATATATATTTTAAAATTCATGATAGAGTGTGTTTATGCACATGCACCTAGCATTTTTCAGACTGACTGAGCTGAGGATTGAAACAGGTTGGCATATGGCTTCCAGCTCTGTAGTCTGGTACAGCACCAGCTATATACCATGTATGCTAGGCCTGATAGTCTGATGATAAGAGTAAGTAAACAAGACAAATATGGAGCTTATAATCTAGCAGGGAAATCAAACATTAAGCATATCATTATCAGTTTGTATACCATATTACAGTAGGTTTGGAGGTTAACAAGAATGTTAAACTTTCAAGGACCTCATTGAAGAATCAAATTCAAAATGCTTAATAATAAATTTTTAATGTTTTGAATAAAAACTTCTATTTAAAAAAAGAGTTATTGAGACCAGCAGTTAGTGTAATGGCTATGTCACTGGATTCACATGTAGTCGAGCACAGTTCAAGTCCTGGACCCCGGCGGATTAAACTCACACTGGGCACATGTGCGTGCATGCCCAAGATCCCAAGAGGAGAATGGAGGAGAAGGGATTGCGGCGTGGCCATCCCCCCTGGGAGGTGATTTCTCACTTTCTATCTCTGTCTCTCTCTTTCTGGCAAGCGCACGCGCCCTGTAATGAAAACCTCCCCCCAAAAAAGAAAAATAAAAAAAGAATTAGTATTTTAATTTTATTTATTCTTTTATTTTTTTTTAATTTGACCAGAAAGACACAGAGAGAGAGAGATTAAGAGAGGGAAAGTCAGAAAGCAAGGCACCAGGTCCAAGATTTGAACCATGGTCGGCCATGTGAGAGTCCAGCGCCCTTATCTACCACACCACCTGCCAACCCCTTGAATAAAAACTTTTTTAGAGATTTTTGCTATAGGGTGTGTGCACTTGCCAGAGAGACAGGGAAAGACAGAAAGTGAGAAATCACCCCTCTGGGATGGCCATGCAGCAGTCCATTCTCCTCCATTCTCCTCTCAGGAATTTGGGCACAGATGTGTACACGCCCAACATGAAGTTAACCTGTCAGGTCCAGGACTTGAATCACAGTCAACTCCTTGGGAGTACAGCAGCATAACCATTGCGCCATCTTCTGGTCCCTGAATAAAAATTATTGATATCTAAGCAATTTTGGATTTTGAATAAAAGCTTTTCATGTGTAAGCTATTTTGCATTTCTTCATATATATATGTGGTGTATGTGTGTGTGTATCTTCATATATGTGTGTGTATACATACATACATACATATATTTATTTATTATTTAATATAGTGGGCCAGCCCATGGTGTGGTGATTAGGGCAGCTGGGTGCCACATGACTGACTATGGCCATGGTTTGAGAAACACATCAGGCACACGTGTACGTGCCCAGAAATCCCGAAAAGAAGGAGAGATTAAAGAGAAGGTATTGGTATGTGATCTTGTCTTATGGAGAGTGCTTTCTCGCCTCATCCCAGCCCCTCAGACCCACTGTGAGTGCACATTGCTCTCTAGCAAAGTTTTTATTTATTTATTTATTTATTTATTTATTTATTTGTTAGAGGATGTGTGTACTTGTCATCAAGATAGAGAAGAGCGAGAGGAGGGAGAAATCACCACTTCCCGATGAGGTATTGTCACGCTGCCATCCCTTCTCCATTTCTCCATTAAGTTGGGATTTGGGGCAAGCACACGCAAATACCCATGGTGTTTTTTGAGCCATGGTGCCAGGATTCAAACTGCAAGGTTGGTCACGTGAGATCCAGCTCCCATAACCAGCAGGCCACTGATCCAGCCCATTCTCACTGTATATTTTATATGCTTTTTTTGTTTTTTCAACACTTTTTAACTTTCTGTCAAGTGCATGATCCTTTTTCTGTCTTCTGATACTTTTCGATTTACTTTTTGCAGATTAAGATTAATGTTAAATAATAGTAGTAGGTATATTGTTTCTAATACTACTGTAAATCTAAAGTTTTATCTTTAAACACATATTTGTACAAAAATTTTTTGAAAAACAAATACTCAAAGTTTTTGTTGTTTGCTATAGGGTGTGGAGAGACAGACAGTGAAACAGAAAGTGAGACGTCACCCCCCAGAGGGGACGGCCATACTGCAATCCCTTTTCCTCTATTCTCTTCTTGAGATTGTGGACACACATGCACACACACACACACACACACACACACCCCATGTGAGTTTCAAGCCAGTGGTGTCCAGGACTTGAACCACAGTCAACTACATTGGAGTCCAGCTCCACTTGCTGGCCCCCATATACCCAAGTTTTAAGATTGGCTACATATGAATATTATAGTATAGGTAATTTCCACTTTCTTCTTGATCCTTTCTGAAATGCTTACTTTATAACATGCACTTTGTTCTTTTCTTCTTTTTTTTCCTCTTTTTTTTTTTTTTTTTTTTTTTTTTCAGAGAATGCCTGGGGTAGCCAGAGAAAGACAGAAAGAAAGCAGGTTGGGGAGGGGGAGACCATCTAATGGGACATGGTCATGCAACAATCCCTTCTCCCCATTTTTCCATCTCATCAAGATTTAGGGCATGCGCTCACACCCAGTATTTTTATTTTTTTAAAGAATTATTTTATTTAACTTTATTATTATTAATTTCCAGTTTCATCAGAGAGAGAGAGAGCAAGAGAGAGAGAGAGGGAACCAGCAGTTAGCATAATGGCTATGTTGCTGGACTCCCACGGAGTCGACCACCGTTCGCGTCCCAGA